AAGCCTAGCCTTTTTGAAGGCTTGATTGTTTTACTAGCCTACTTAAAGTCTACTTTGTTTGATAATTTGTAAGCAAATAATTCAACGAATGTTAAATAGACTAAAAAATTAAAAGATAAATGAGACTTAATATTTTTTTTCATAGACTCATTTGAGTTTACGTATTAGCCTAAGTATTTTGACATTATTTGTTTGAGATAACTTATAAAAATAACTTATGAAAATAAATTATGATATTGTTCATAAGGTTTTTTTCAACTTATTTCCATAAGTTCTTCAAGATAACTATACTTTATTTTCGTATTTTAATTTAAAGTACAAAATATAATATAATAATAATAGTAATATAAATAAATTTATTCATGTTTATTTAAATAGGCTGGTCTATTAGGCTTAAAATGTTTTTTTATGGCTCGTGGCCTAGCCTTTTTAGCTAAATAGACTTATAAAAAACTATGAGCCTTTTCTACTTAAAAAAACATGGCATGGCCTGAGCCTATGTATGCTAGGCGATATGTCCCTGTTAGTTGGTCTGGCCTATTCCCACTCTTAACTGTGGAACATACACCATTTAACTATCTTGGAGTTCCTATATTAAAAGTCAAGCTTAGAAGCCATCATCTTCATATTATAGCAGATACAATATTGGCCAAGCTAGCTAGTTGGAAATGACACCTTCTTTCTACGGGTAGGGTTTAATTAGTCCAGTCAGTCATACAAGACATGCTTCTGTGTAGTTTCAGTATTTACAAATAGCAAATCAATTTTCTTAACAAGACAGATTCTTGCATTATAAATGTTATGTTGACAAGTATCATAGACAGTAGAAAGCTAATTACTTGGAAGGTTATTCACTCATATTTGTCTAAAAGAGGTCTTGGCCTGAGAGATGTTAAGACGATAAAAAAATCTGGTTGTTTATCTCTTTATTTTAAAGTTGTTGACTACTAATAATTAATTGTCTTATATGATTATTAGTGGGTACTTCAAGAACAAAAAACAAATAATGCATCATATATCTTCTTTAATATGGCCTGACGTTAAACATTCATTTTCTTTCTGGAGGAACATAGTAGATGGAAGCTTGGTAATGTGAAGAATAATAACTTATGGATTGACAATTGGTAGAGATACAAAACTAAAGATCTTCACCTAGTATTACTAGTGGATATTCAATTTATGCAAACTACTAAGGCCAATTCAATCATCCAAGACATCAATTGGAACATTCCTCATGGATTATCTATTTTGTCATCTCAAATTGTTGAAGACATTTTGAATATTAACTTATTATTTGATAATACTACCACTGAGATACCCATTTGGATAAGAAATCCAAATGGTGATATATCTTTTAAAGATGCCTACACTTGTATCAAGAGGGATCACACTGAACATTCTTAGACAAATTTCATTTGACATAACTAGATACCACTTGCTAAATTATTAGTGACTTGTAAACTAATGCATAATATTATTGCAACTTAAGAGAACTTGATTCAAAGAGGAATGGGTATGGTTTTGAGGTCCTCTCTCTATAATTATGATGTGGAAACTACAAGCCAATTTTGGGCATGTACAGATCATCGTAACATAATCATTACCTCAAACAAATTATATACGGACCCAATAATGTATCTTGTTGGTGGCTCTGTCCAATAAGAAATATTATATTCTTTTTTGTTCCTATTTATAAAAAAAAATTGTTTCCACATGAGTAATACTTCATGTTTTCTTATGTACATTAAGAGAAAAATAATGTTTATGTTTTAGATTTATTAAATAATTTATATATTTAATATATTATATTGACCTAATATATTAATCTATCATATAAGAAAAATGATGGTTCTGGAAAAGACCAAAATGCCCTACTGCTCCCACAATGTGCCACGTCTATCTCTTTTAACATATTATATGTTAGTGCGTGAGGTACTTTTAGTGAGGAGAGAATAGAGAGAGAATAAGGAAATAAAGATTTATATTATTGAATTGTACAAATAATGATTCATACTATGACTAATTATATACAACTCTAATTAGGATTGAGTCTACACAACTTAGATTATATTTAAATATTAAATCTAATCAAATCTAATTTAATATTTCAGCACACCTCCATAATCCTAGTTGTCGAACATACTCTAAAAATAGTCAATATGAACTATTCCTAATTTTTTTCTCAAATTTAGGAATCTGTCGATCTTCAATCATTTGGTGAAAGTGTCGGTCAACTGTACTTCACTCTAGCAATGCCTTACTTCAAGTTCACCTTGATTCACCTTTTCTCTCAAGAAGTGAAACCTTGCTTCGATATGTTTACTTCTTCCATGCAGAATTGGATTCTTCACCGGATTTATGGATGACTTGTTGTCAATTTGAAACACAAGAGGTTTCTTCTCTTCGACCTTCATTTCTTCAAGTACAGATCTGATCCAAATTGCTTGACATGCAACATAGGATCCTGCTATATATTCGGCTTCACACGATGACAATGCCACCACAGGTTACTTCTTCGAACACCATGAGATTGGGGGTACCAAATACTTGAAATAAATATCCAGTTGTTCTTCTTTGATCTTCCTTATCTCCACACCAATCAGCATCTGAAAAATAATTAACGGTTGCTTCTTTGCTTTCAGAGTCTCGTCGAAATAGTATTCTACAGTTTATTGATCCTTTTAAGTATATCAGGATTCTTCTTGTAGCCTTCATTTGTGACACCCTTGGTTCACTCATGTATCTGCTCGCTAATCCAACCATGAAACCTATATTGGGACGACTGTTGCATACGTACCTCAAAGATCCCACAATTTGCTTGAACAAAGTTACATCGACTTTGTCTTTGTCTCCATTCTTCTCCAATTTCACATTTGGTTCGACGGGTGAGGATGCAGGATTTAAATCATCCATTCTGAATCTCTTGAGTATTTATTTGACATACTTCCTTTGATGTAGCACCATACCTTGCTACGACATTTGAAATTCCATGCCTAGGAGATAAGACAATTTTCCCAGATCTGACATTTCAAATTCTTTCATCATCAACTCTTTGAACTTCGACAAGTTCTCTAAGCTATTTCCAGTTACTAGAAATTCATCGACATACAAGAAGATGATTGTTATATCTTGTGCTACAACCTGAACATAGACACCATACTCTGACCGACATCTTCTTATTCCATGTCCTAGGTGCCTGCTTGAGACCATAGAGCGTTTTGTGCAACTTATATAATTTACTTGCTTCCTTCTGAATCACAAACCCTGGAGGTTATGTGACATAGACCTCTTCGTCTAAAGAACCATTCAGAAATGTTGATTTCACATCTAAATGAAATGTCTACTAACCTTGGTTGCATTCTAATGATACTACTAGTCGAACAGTCTCCAATATTGCTACAAGAGAAAATACTTCAGAGTATTCGAGTCATGATCTTTACAGAAAATCTCAAGCTACTAATCTTGTTTTATGTCTTGCTATTGACCCATCAGCATTGTGTTTCAACTTGAACACCCACTTTACTTCGATAGCTTTTGTATGTATTGGAAATTCGACTAACTCCCATATGTTGTTTCTTTAGATTGCTTGTAACTCTTCGAACATAGATAACTTCTACTATTTAGTTGGAATCACCATTCCTTTTCCATGACTGAGCTTGCAGCGCCTATAACGAGTCATGAACTCCTTTCCTTTCGATAATCCTCATCCCATGCGCCTCCGATGAACCAACCAAATCTTCCACTTTTGGGCTTTCAAGATTTTTGGATTATTGAATAGCAACGATAACATGATAAAAGTGAGAGGTCAAAGTTCTCATTAACTTCTCAGCTATCATCTATCAGTTAAGGTTTTACCACAACCCTTCATGAGATGGACGAGTTTCTAAACCTTTAACACATATTCTACAACTTTTTCATCTTCTCCCATCAACAACAACTCATATTCTCAATGCAAGGTTTGTAACTTGACAACCTTTACTTTCTCACCTCCTTCGTAATACTTCACCAGAATATCCCACGCCTCCTTCGTTGTTTCAGCATGAGAGATTCTATCGAAATTAGCAGCATCGACCATAGTCTGAATGCAATAAGCAGCCTTACAATCTTTCTTATTAACTTAGTTGTGGGCTTTTTCTATTCATCTGTTGCATTTACAACTAACACATGAATGTTGTTGGTAGCCACTTCTAGGATTTCATGGAAGGCAAACAAGGATTGCAACTTTTTTTTCCACCAGATCCAATTTTTGCCGTCAAGAATTCAAAAAGAATTTAGAATGCCCTTATCACTAGCCATCTTCGTTGCGGTTGATTCACTTTCCCTAGAAACACGATATCTGACATGAAATTCTTGAAAACTAGAACAAGAACAATAACCAGAAGCTCTAGATACCAATTTGTTAGTGCATGAGACAATTTTAGTGAGGAGAGAATAGAGAGAGAATAAGAAAATAAAGATTTGTATTATTAAATTGCATAAATAATGATACATACTAGGACTATTTATATACAACACTAATTGGGCTTGGGTATACACAACTTAGTTTATATTTAAATATTAAATCTAATCTAATCTAATCTAATATTTTAACAAATTAAATTTAATATTTCAAAATTATCTTCCTCCTGGATCTTTATCTCTCTCATGTCCTTTCCCAGCTCCTCTCTTATCTCTTTCTCATCTTTTTTCTTTTTCTCTTTCTCTCTCATCGTTTCTCTTTCTCATCCTTAATCTTCTTTCTCATTGGAACAAATGATTATCTTCCTCCTCGTCAACCTTCCCCTCCTCTAAAATATCTTTTATCCACTTTTTATTTTTGAAATCAAATAGTAACAACTGATAATCCGCGACATTGATTTACCAATTGTTTTGATATTTGTAAGAGATAATTTTCTATCATTAATAACCATATCTGTTTTTTTGTATTATTTCATGGAGCAATAGAATCTGGAAGAGAACACTGAGATAAGGGTAGAAGAAGAGGATCCGTTGCTTGCGGGATGTGGTTTATGATCGAAGTTTATTTGCTATGCGATAATGCTCATTTCAATTTGGGGGTTTCTGGTTACTTTGTTTTATCTACTTCATTTTATCTTTGCTGCAAATGGTTAAAGTTTTGGAACCCTAAGTTTAGAGAAATTTTCATTTTTTTTGTTGTGGGTGATTTTATTGTTGGATTTGGGATTAATTTTCTTCTTGTATGCAGGTTTTTTATTTTAATTTTTTGGACCTTATAATTTAGAGAGACGTTAAATTTGTTAATTTTGTTTTGTTAATTTGTTAATTTTATTTTTAGGAATCTAATGAAATGTGCTTGCTTGGCAGTGAACAATCCTAAATTTTTTGGACCGATGTTGAATGAGGGGTGTTTCTGGGATTGCTTCATCCTATTGAAAATTACAAAGTGTGAGTGTATTTGTTGTTGATATGGATTTATTTATTTAACATATGTGTAATCGTCGATGGTTTTCATTCATTGATCCGCGTTGTAATTTGCAGCTATGGATATTTGACTAATACAAAGGACTAATTTATTTTGGCGACTACGAATCTAGATGTTAAAGATGCATATGTAAGGTGTTCTTGGTGTTTTGAGTGTAGATGCAGATCTATGTGTGAAAGATGTTCAAGAGAAACTCATGGTCTGTTTGGATAAGTACTTATGTATACACTATTTCAATAGTAAAATAATTCATGCTAAACTACTATGTAAAATAATTTAATAATTTGAGGAACAATCTTTTCATGAAACAAGTGGAAGCTCAATACTTTCATGATTACGTAGGAGTTTCCGCCAATGTTGGTTTGACAACTTTGGTTTTATGGGTCCAACAATATCCTGGGTAAAAATGCATTGGTCTAATATATCACGGGTTTGAAACTGAGGAGAAATAGGAGTGGACTTAAACTTGCTTTCTTTTATAAAAAGTCCAAATGACTTTTAATATGAATACAAAGGGGTAAACTTCCCACTGCCCAAAGAGAGTCTGTCTTTTGCACTACCCAATGCATATTTGAATTTAACCAACAAAACTCCGCCATAAATCCAAATATTTCTTCGATCCATCATGCCTGACATTTTTATTGCCTCTGTCGAATAACTCCTTTGACAATGGTTTTGTAAGAATGTATGTTGCTTGATCCTTGCTTGTAACGTGCTTCAGTTCGATACTTCCATCCTTTACATGTTCTCGAATAAAATGGAGTCGAACATCAATGTGTTTGCTTCTTTCATGGTTGACTGGATTCTTCACCAGTTCGATTGCAGATTTGTTATCGACTTGAATTATTGTTTCATCTTCCTGTTTCGACTCCATCCTGCTCAGCAATCTTCTCATCCATATTGCATGGCATACGCACCAAGATACTGCCACATACTCTGCTTCACATGTCAAAAGAGTTACTATGGGTTGCTTCCTTGACAGCCAGGTGAATGCAGTGTTTCCCATGAAGAACACATATCCTGAAGTGCTTCTTCGATCATCTATGTCACCACACCAATCGCTGTCAGAGTAGCCAGTCAACTTGTATTCTTTTGCTTTTGAATAAAACATTCCAAGTGACACAGTTCCTTGGACATATCGAAGGATTCTTATCAGAGATTTCCAGTGTGCAAAAAATGGTTCTTCCATGAAATAACTCACAATTCCAACACTCAACGAAAGATATAGCCTTGTGCATGTGAGGTATCGAAGACTTCCCACCAAGCTTTAATTTTTTTTTGCTTCGACATGCTCTCCCCCATCAAATTTGGAAACCTTTGCTCCTGGTTCCATTGGTGTCAAAATTGGATTGCAGCTTTCCATTTTAAATCTTTTCAGGATACCTTTTGCATATTTTTCTTGTGAGATGAAGATTCCTGTTTCTTCTTGTCGAACCTCCAGACAAAGAAAGTATTTCATCAGGCCTAAGTCAGTCATATCAAACTCTTGTGTCATTGTGCCTTTGAATTCTTCTATCATCTGATTATTGTTGCCCAAGAAAATTAAGTCATCGACATAGAGAGCAACAAGAAATATTTTCTCTTTTTCCTTCTTCACATACAAGGCATGTTCATAGGGACATTGTTGAATTCCATTTTCTTTGAAGTATGTGTCAATTCGTGTATTCCATGCTCGTGGTGCCTACTTCAGCCCATAAAGTGCCTTCTTTAGCTTTAGCACCTTTCCTTTATTTTCGAATTTCATGTATCCAGGTGGTTGTTCGACATAAACTTCTTCTTCAAGCATGCCATTTAAAAAGGCTGACTTGACATCCATCTGATATATTTTCCATTTGTATTAAGTAGCTTGAGATATGAGCAGTCGAATTGTCTCTATTCTCGCAACAGGTGCAAACACTTCATCATAGTCGATTCCTACTTTCTGCTTGTATACTTTCGCCACAAGTCGTGCCTTGTATATTTCGATTTCACCTTGTGCATTTATCTTTTTCTTGAACACCCACTTCACACTAATTGTTTGACTTCCTTTTGGTAACTCATCTAGTTCCCAAGTATCATTGCATTCTATGGCCTTAATTTCTTTATTCATAGCATCCTTCCAATTTTTGTTTCTTACTGCTTCGTCGAAACTGACATCTTCAGTGTCTGCCAACAAACATACGAGATGCACTTCTTCTATGTTTTCATACATGTCTTGTAAACTTCACAACCTGGGTTGTGAGAGTCCATCTTCATCATCAGAGTCTTCTGGTTCTGTCGAAGTGTTTTTTGATATAGCACCTGGTAATTCGTCCATAACTCCAGTCGAGTTGTTCCAGTCCCACTTGCTTCCTTCGTTTACTCGAACATCTCTACTCACTATCACCTTTTTGTTTATTGGGTTGAAAAGTCTGTAACCTTTCGTTTTCTCATTATACCCAATGAGTATGTATTTATAACTCTTATCTTTCAACTTTCTTCTTCTTTGATCAGGTACATGTGCATAAGCCACACTTCCAAACACTTTGAAGTGAGACACAATTGGCATTTGTCCGCTCCAAGCTTCTTGAGGTGTTAAATCTCCCAACTTCGAATATGGACATCTATTCTGAATGTAGATAACATATTGTACATCTTCTGCCTAAAATTCCTTCGACATGTTCTTGCTATTAAGCATTGATCGAAACATATCGAGGACTGTTTGATTCTTTCTTTCCGCCACACCATTTTGTTAAGGTGAGTATGTTGCAGTCAGAAATCTCATTATGCCTTGCTCTTTACAGTACTTCATAAAAGTTGTCGAAGTATACTCCCCACCTCTATCTGATCGAAGAGCTTTGACGTGCCTGTCTGTTGCTTTCTCCACCATTATCTTAAACTTCTTGAATACTTTGAAGGCTTCTTACTTTTCTTTCAGAAAATACATCCAAGTTTTCCTTGAGAAATCATCAATAAAGGATATAAAGTACCTTTTGCCACTGAAGGATTCTGGGGTAATTGGTCCACATATGTCGGTGTGAATCAATTCCAGAATATGTTTAGCCTGATATTATGCCTTCCTTTTAAATGAGGTTCTTGTCTATTTTCCAAACACACATTCTTCACAAAACTTTCCTTCGAATTCTACGTCTGGCAGTCCATGCACCATATTTTTCTTTGCTAACCTCTTTAGTCCAGCCTGATGTAGATGACCAAAACGTAGATGCCGCAGGGATGCTTGGTATTCGAAATTGGATTGCAAACACTTTTCTCGAATGCTTCTCAAATTCAACTTGTACATTCGATTTAACCCCATTTCGACTTGAGCAACCAGACGTCTTGACTTGTCTTTTAAGTGCAAACTTCGATCTTCCATGAGTATCGAATAGCTCTTTTTTGTGAGTTGTCCCAGACTCAAAATACTTTCTTTAAGGTTTGGTACATAGTACACATCTTGGATTGATGCTATCAAATCATCCTTCTACAAGAAACAGGTTGTTCCTTTTCCTTTGACCCTTACTTTCGATGCATCTCCAAAGGAAACATGACCATCCTCAATTTTCTTTATTTCTTTGAACAAGTGCTTATGACCACACATATGGATACTTACTCCTGATTCCAGGTACCATATAGTGTCATTTTCTGCATCTGCTTCTGTTGTACCCCAAAATTTTCCCTCCCATTTTCACACAAGACATACTCTTAGAGGTTCTCAATTTCTCAAGGTTGACCAAGAATTGACTAGACAATTCTCCTCCTAAGGCAATGAACCCCCAACTAGGGTTTTAATTTTCATCAAGATGGTTGAGCTCCAATGGTCTCAAATTTTCTCTGTTATCCTAATATGTCCTCAAGATCATCTATGCCAAGTTTCATGCCTTGCTCAACAAGTTTGCTCAATCAATTGCTCAAGTATTGGAAAATTAACCGTGCTAGGTCAAAAGTTAACTGTGGCCCATGTACAGTCAAACTTCAAGATTTTTGGTCAACATCAACATTTTGAAGTAATATCCATCATTTTATTAAGGGTTGATCATGATTCCTCAAGAAATGCTCCTAACCCGTCAAAAGTAAAAAAAAAAGGCAAATTATGGTTTCTATAGGAAAAGTCAACCAAACTTTGACCAAGCATAACTTTCTCATACTTTATCAAAAAAATTTCCAACCAAAGCTCATTTTGAAGAGAATCAAATTCCCTACAACTTATCTTCATCCCTCAAGATCAAGAAATTCACCATTGAAAGATACAAGTTCATACATTACAGGTCATTTTTAGAAAGTCAACAAAAGCCACTTTTTGTCAAGACAACTTACATCAAGATAATGTCTTAAAAAGAAAACATGATCAACATAGAGATTGTAGAGGACATCTTAGACTTTCCAAAAAGTCCAATATCATCTTTAAAAGATGAATATTGAGCAAGTTATGATTTGCACAAGTTGGGAAATTTGTGAAAAATGCATGAAGTCAACTTTGAGAAAATTGTGTTTTTAGGTTAATGGACCTAACTTTTAGGGTTAAAACATGTTTATGACATACCCAAGGACCTCTAAACCTAACTATTTTGATTTTTATTTCTATTTATTTGAATTTTTATTCATTTAAATATGAATTAAATCAAATAAATTAAATAAAAATACAAAGAATAATGGGCAATGACATTTGGGTTTGATTTGATCTATTACAAGGTCCATATTTTCGTGCAAGATACATCCAAAGGGACCAGGTTCATGCAAGTGACCAAAGAGGTAAAGATATCACAAATATAAACATTTTTCAATGTGTTTTATCCTTGTCTCCAAGGCCATGAATGCATTGATTCTTTATCATATTTT